CAAGTGCAAACACTGATTTCTCCACGGGGATGCTTTCAAAATTGTATTCTCATGTGAAGACGCCTATTTAAAATAAAGAAAAGCAAACAAGCAATAAATATCCAAACAAGCAATAAATATCCAAACAAGCAATAAATATCCATTGTTAAACTCTCCTCAGAGCAGTCTGCTGTGGAACAGTCGTTAATGGAAGTTTACTTTTAACACTCTGGCTACCACCTAGCATAAAGACATGTTACCCCATATCACCACACACATAATCAACAAAGACAAAATGATTTACATTTTGGGATCTACCTTTTCACAATGACAAAAAGAGTTTCCCTTGAAATAGACTGTTTCTTGTTTTACAGGTTTATGGTGAGGATAAACCCAGACAACACCAAATGCACTTCAAGGTCCAGGTCAGCCAAAGGAGTGGCAAGACAGTCCAGCTAAAGGCTACAGCCGTGAATCCCCGAGTTGCATCCTTTCTCAAGGACTTTTTAGACTTGGACTGGCATATAGCAAATAGTTGTTTGATGCTGTAATAATGTTAAACATTTCAAATGTTGCATCTTTAATGTTTAAAAAAAAGAAAATTAGAAATGTTCCTGTTGTGTTTCTACTTAAAACAAGGAACTCTTGACCTGTCAGCTGTACTTGTTCTAGCATAGGATGGGGGATTGTCTGCATTTTACAGTTACATTTGACAAAAAATCTGTCTTTTTTTCTTCATTCTATAAAACGAACAAAATACTTGTTGATACAGTGTATTTGAAGCTAGATTATATTTTTCATGAATTTGTTTTAATATATCCACTTTTTCCTTATTTACAGCCTGTGGTTGGGGTTGCTATGACTCTATAGAATAGAGTAAGACTTCTCTTTGGTTAGTGTGTAGCTGATCCTGTGCAAGCCAATGTCACCTGAAAAAAGAAACATCCCCAAACCCGAATGTTACTGCCGTCATGGTAGTTTAACTGCTCATGACTTTCTTTGAGTCATCAGCAGGGACATTTCTGTATCTTTTTGCCAATTCTAGATAAAGTGGTGGCAACATTCAGGTTTGTAGCTGTTTCGCCTATCGAACTTGGTGACTTGTAGAGGATCAACAACACACTGACCTTCGTCTGTTCATTTCTTTTGGTCAGCCCTGCTGTTATGTATGTTCATGTTTTGTTTTTTATGTAATATTTTTGTAACACCGAACTGAGGTTGAGAAATAAAATGAAATGCATTTAACTTTCAAATATCATTCTCATTTATCATCATTTAGCTAAATAAACAATATTTTAAGTACAGTAATACACTGGCAACAGATATTCAGTAGAGGTAGGTTCTACAGCACTGTTATAATTAATACAGTAACATTAACATATACAATACTGTACTGTATTCAATTTCACAGCAGCATTAAAAAGTACAGTACTGTATTGTTTTTAATTTCACAGTAACAATCACAAATACAGTACTGAACTGTATTCAATTTCACAATAATGTTAACAAGTACAGTACTGTATTGTATTTGGCTCTACAGTAATCAAAATAATACTGTAATTGCAATTACAATAACATTACTGTGAAGTATATCACAGTAAGTCACTGGCAACCAGCTGCCAGTATAATACTGTGATTATCACAGCAACAGTCTTACAGTGTAGCGTTGATGAATAGGTGAAAATAGTTTGGTACAAATGAAGGTAAATAAAAACACATTTACTGTAAGCATTTTTAAACTGGTTATGAAGGTTTGCATGAGGGTGGTTGCGTGAGAGTCAAACAGATCTGACAGATAAAATAGTTACTGCAGGACTAGATTTTGATCCTTGACCACATAATGTCAGCACAGAGGTTAGAGGAAGCACTTAGCTCACAGAGGCTGCCAAAAACAACACAATCCAAACGATCCTCACTGTAGCTTTCATTTTAATATTTTGTTAAAAACAAGACTGAAACCTTTTACTGAAAGAGCCAATACCAATAAATCCTGTGAGGTTTTATTCTGAAAGTGTCATATGGCCTCTCCATAGGATCTGATGATGTTTTTCCAGGTTTTTTCCAGTATAAAGTGTCTCCTGCTGTTTTCTTTAACACTACTATATGAATCCTGTAATGTTAAACATTATGATATGAGTCTCACAGCTTCAAACGAGGGAAGCAGGAGTGATCCAGCTCAAGTTCATCACTGTTATCCTGGATTTAATTTAAAGATAAAGATGTATTAAGTTTAAGAAAAGAAGCGTTATAATGTATACACTTCAAAGCAAACAGCTTAAATGTCTAAACTCTGACAAAAATGAATGTAAATGCTATTAAGCATTAAAAAGAATTAACCGAACTCATATTTAAAGTGAAGAGGAGAAAATAAATCTCTTGAATTACTTTTAAATGAAATGAACAGAACTGAACAGAAAGGTTACCATACCATGAGATAAAACAAAAGGTTAAAATTGACTCAATAAAAGATCGGTAGAATAAAACCATCAGTGTCTTGTCCACATTAAAAGTGTTCATTCTGCACAGAAAGTAGAGTCTCTGAAGGCCCTTTTTGCAGATTGCATGTGTTCTTGTCATGATTTAAGTTTTTGTCAATCAAAGTGCCCTGGTACTTGTAACACTCAACATTCTCCACAGGTGTGTCTTTGATCATAGGCAGGAGGGTTGAGTGGGAGCTTTTCTGAAAATCAATGACCATCTCTTTTGTTTTTTTTAACACTGATCTTTAAGAAATGGTGGTCGCACCACTCCACAAAGTCCTTCACAACAGGCCCATGATCGACCTCTCCATCCTGGAGCAGACTGATTAGAACAGTGTCGTCCGCAAACTTCAGGAGATGCCTGTCGTCATAGGTGCTCCTACAGCCGTTTGTATATAAAATATACAAGAAAGGAGACGGGACACATCCCTGGGGAGAGCCTGTGGATGACAGCCGCTTCTCGGATAGAGCACCATTCACCCTGACTGCCTGAGGCCTGCAAGTTGAAAAGTCCAAGACCCATTTCACCAACCTAGTATCAAGGTTAAAATTGGACAGTAGTTTCTTTGCTAAAATGTGGGGTTGGATTGTATTAAAAGCTGGAAGAAATCTACAAATAAAATCCTCGCATGTGTTTTTGTACCCTCAAGATGTTTATATAAATAGTTAAATAGAGTAATAGTGGCATCATCCACCCCTCTGTTTGCCCGATATGCAAATTGCCTCGGGTCAAGCAGGCCCTGAAGATGATTGGTCAGAACTCTTCTGACCAATTGTTCAAAAGTCTTCATTTCTACTGAAGTCAGAGCCACAGGCCTCAGGTCATTTAGCTCTTTGGTATAAATAGAAACCAGTTAGCCGTCTCTGTGCGGTTATGCAAATTCACATAGTCTAGAAAGGGTTAGGAGTAACATGGGTGACAGTTGCACTCAGGGACCTTCTGTGGGTGCCAAAGTGCACCAAACTGAAATATTGTTGCTATTTTTTAGATGTCAAAGAGGAGCTTGAGACCGTGACAAAAAAATACAAAGCACTGAAGAAGAAAACACACATGAAGGAACATCACCAGTCAGGTAAAAACTTTGTTTTTAAAGTAGATAATGCTCTGATTTTAAACTGTAAGAAATTGCTTCACTTATTTTTATAACAGTTGCTAACAATGCTTCTATTCACACTAGTGCTGATCAACCCGGCCCGTCATCTGCACAGGTAAGTTTAAGTAAAAGTGATGATTAAAAGTTAACATTCTGGTAGACAATGAAATGGTAATATGAAAGTTATCAGTAGAATATCACAACCTTTGTGTTTAACTCTCTTGTGGATATTTCAGGTTTACCTGATGCAGAGAAACAGCTGAGGCCTGTTTAACCACTGAGGGTCCCACAGGGAACATTGAAAAGTCAAACGAGGCTTCTAGATATCAATCAATCAATCAAGCTTTATTCATATAGCACCTTTCATACAAAGTCAAAGTGCTTTACAGCGACTGAAAAACAAAAATAAACATAAACTAGTGACAAAACAGGGTAGAAATAAAAATGGATTCATAAGTAGAGAAGTAGAGACTAATGCACACCAATAGGAATAAAAAAAGTTAAGTTAAAACAGAAAAGATTAACAAAAATATAGTTGAGATAATAAGAGGGTAAAGATTGCCTTATAGACAGTTAAAATAATTTAAAAATTAATATGAAAACTCACAGGCAGCCTGTGTAAAGATTTTAGAATTGGTGTATTGTGTGCTCTCCTTCAGGTCTTTGTTAGCACTCGTGCTGCCGCGTTTTGAATTAACTGCAGCTGATTTACTTTATTCTTTGGTAGACCAGAAATGAGAGCATTACTTCTAGTTATGAAATCGGTATTGCTCAGAGAGAGAAACTGCCTCACTTTGGAAATGTTCTTTAAATGATCAAATGCTGTTTTTGTGATGGAGCGTACATGTGGCTTTAAATTAAAATCAGAATCAAATAAAACAGATACCAGAACAAATATTTATTATTTTCTCCCTGAAGTAGCCAGCAAACTCCCAGTTGTGTTTTTCATTTTAATCGTTTCTTTTTTGGGCCTTTTCGCCTTTATTAGATAGGACAGCTGAAGAGAGACAGGGAACGGGAGGAGAGAGTGGGGGGATGACATGCAGCAAAAGGCCGAGGTCAGATTCAGTCCCACAACTGCTGCTTAGGAATGTAATCGCTGTACATGGGGCGTGACATAACCGTTATTTGTTTCTACCATTCTTTCAGCAAGACATCAACTTCTGCAATAATTCAGCTTTTGTTATTCTTGAATATGTTAACGATTTTTGTTAGTGTTTTTATTTCATGAATTTAGAAGTGGATGATTTGATGTACCTGCTACAGTTTCACTGATTATTACGGTGTCAAATTAAATCTAATAAAACTTTAATCTGTGTAATGATATATTAGAAATAAGAGTTAATTTCATTATCGGACCAACTTTTCTGGCTTCCTGATATGAACTGTACAATGTTTGTTTTTGTTTTTTTAAGTCTTCATTGTTTATAAATGCAATATGGCACATCATGCAATAAAACTCCTGATTAAAATGTTGTTGCATTTTTGTCTTTATTGTGAATTTGGTATAAAAGTCCTGCAGCTGCCCAAAAGATTTCCATTCAACCCAAACGTGCTGTAAATACACAGAAGCTGTCATGTAAGAGACACAAACCCAGAAAACAGACTACTGCATATCTAGTCATCACAGGAGAAACACTCCAGGCCTGTAGGGGGCGCTAAATATTACAGCTATCCTTTTATGGAGAAATGTATTTTGATTATTGGTAAAGTAACCCTGCTGCTGAGTGAGGCTTTTTAGCCAAGGATTTTCTCATGACTCAGCACCTGAACAACTGATGTTCATGTTGTCTGACTTTTGTTTGTTGTGCCATCAGTCCCAGGGGTGAGGGTGGGGAGTGCTGTGTTTGTCATAGCCCGTCTGTTTCATCCGCCAGCCGATCTCAAAACGTTGTCCTTCCAATTATCTTTGTTAATTATGTTCTTTGTAAAAAAAACAATTCACTCATATAGAGTCTAAGTAGCGCCCCCTATCTGCTGTGATGATTGCAGCTTTTTTCTGTTTCCTTTGTTTTCTGTTTGTGTGTTTTTGACTTTGCTTCATTTGTGTATTTGCTGAATGTTTACTTTTAATGTATTCATTTCTGCTTTTTGCAGCATGTTCATTCCTTTTGCAGCACCACGTCTCCTTTGTATTTGTTAGACATTTATTTTCCAGTTGCATCCAGATTTTGCTGCCTGTTTTGTCCTTAAGTATTTTCAACCTTTGCAGCTTGTTCATACATCGTATTAAAGTTACTGAATGTTTTCCCTGACATCAGTTTCTGTTCTGACAAAAAACTGATGTTCCAATCAAGTTTCCAGACCAAAATCTGTAAGCATAACCCAAACTCTTAAAGTAACCTTCACTGCATACTTAGTGTTTGTTGCTCATGAAGTCGTAGCATTCACATTGTAACTTTGTAATAATACAGTTTCCTGACATCATGCAACCACACACAAACCTACAGCAGTAAAACACCCTGTGTGTAGAAGGTGGCTCACCTTATATGCCTGACGTTATGTTGTTGCATTCTTTAAGCATAAGTTTGACTTCTGGGTGTGTTGTATAGTAAATAAACTGTTGTTGATAAAACCAGTAATTAACAAATGTGCTCACACACAAATGTCAAGCACTACAATTTTTTCCATTGATTCGTTAAGATAAATCATCTTCTACACACATCAGAGCGGCATATGCCCTTGGTTTTAGTTAATAATGGCATTGTTTGTTTTATACAATAGTTGTGTTACCTTTCATACAACCCAACAACTGCACTGAGGCAGAACCTGACGGTCTGCTTTGTGGACATACAGGTGTGGTTCTTCATATCATCTCAGGGCGTGTCCAAGGCTCTGTCTGTTCTGAGTTTGTTGAAATTAGATTTTACATACCGACTTCAAATATTAGATATCACACTTAGATGAAAAATAGGTGTTTTGGTAAGAATTAGTGTGTAAAGGCTTATGATGTAGGGATGTTTAAAGAAATTTGTCGGGCGGACACTCTGAGAACTGCAGGATTTTGTTCTTCCGCATTAGCTTCACTTTTCAACACCAGAGGTTGCTGCTTGGGATCCACTGATTAATTTTATTTTTTCTATCTTGTATTAATGTGTGCATAAGGTTTGTTTGTGTGTCAAACACTATTGGTTACTGCAGGACTGAAATTCATTTTGTTTTACTTAGCAGTTTATAGCAACAGAAAACCTAAAACTGTGATCTGTAACCCAACATTATTGTATTTAGGTATAAACTGTGTTGCAATCAACTTTTAGAAAGATGATAAACAACCCATTGATTTTTGTTCTTTGACCAACAGCTTGACACATTTTTTAAAATATTTTTCTGATATTTGATTCTGTTAATACAACTGCAACACTGCACATCTATTTGTAAAGCTTTTAGGAAACCCATTGTTCTGCTGTTTTCTCTCCATATATACTCATGTCAAGGCTGACCCAAGCAGGGTTTGTTTTGTTAGCACAAGGTCCTGAACATAAAAAGAGCATCAACACTGTAACTGATTGAGTGTGACTTTAAAATAAAAAAACGACCCATTGTGTCTTCAGAGTTCCAGCTTTACAGTGCAAGTATCAAAAACAACCAGTAGGAGTCACTCTCATATACCTGTTGTCTTAACAATGAATTAAGCACATTATTTTAAATACTGAACTTTAGTACATTTTTTAATTGGTTCCAGGTATAGGAACGTTCAACTTTTGTCCATCACTTTTATCTGACAGCTGCAGAACACAGCAACGGCTCCAGAGGAGAAATATGGAAAAGGAGTAAGAAATACATAATTTACTGTATGTGTCTGACAACAAGCTAGAAAAGCAAAATAAATTGGTAGTGATGGTTAAAGAAAAACTTTTTTTAAAAATAAATACTAGTATTTGATTTAAAAAAATGTTTAATCAACTTGCAGCATGTGATTGTGAACAAGTTCATGAGAAAGTGAAAGTGCTGATGGCATGAAGGCGGAGCAGACACAGAGGGCTTGTGAACTTAAAGTACCTTGAATGAAACATCGCTTTCATTTACAGGAAGAGGAACATTGGTCATGATTTAAGTATCAGGTCACGTAACCTCTAGTGTTTTTACCAAGACTGAGGTGGTGGTGGTTTAATGACTGCTTGAGATTGTTTTTTTTTTGTTTTTTTCCTTATCAGCTGGGAGTTTTGATACAGCCATCTGTGGACATTTTTGACTTTTCCAATTTTAGCTTTCATCATTGTCAACAAAGGACTCCAAAGGAATTGTAAGTAAAGCAGTGTTACATAAGATAAGAAAGAAACAGAGATGTAACTGGTTTTACTGACTCTGTTTGATTGAACTTATTATCTTTGATTTTATTTTGTATTGTACTATATGTTTCTGCATAACTTAAAAAGGTCCTTCATAATCAGTTTCAGTAAGAGCTTTTGTTTATCTATTTTAAATAGCTAAATCGTTTTTCTTGACTTATTACACGACATCTCCTCCATAATGTAAAGGTATAGATTGTATGTGAATAAGCTTGGTTGTTAAATTTGAGTAAATTAATATTTCCTGAGAAAAAGAGTTAATTTTCAGCACTTTTACAACTGAAACAACTATGGAGGGATGTTTTGTTGTGCCATTTAAGACGTCACCATGAGGTGCTTTTGAAAAAGTAGTAGATAGGCTTCATGGAAAACAAAGATAATAGCTGGATTAATCTAGTTGATATTACAAAATCCACAAATATAACTTAGTAAAGGATTTTAATTATTTATAATACTGCCGTGTAAACACACACTGAGTGTTTTATTTTTGCCAGGTCATTTTTGCTTTTTGACAACACATCAGGATTTGAAGCTTACTGAAGTATGCTGGCCTATGGTGGAGACCATATGAAATAAATATTTCAAGTTTGACCAGTCACCAGAGGAGTCATGTTTGTGCATTAAGTTGAACTACATAATGTAAGTACAATAAGGTTAATGATTGATTTGACAACTGTTGGGGTTGTATCAAGTCAACTTTGGTTATATTCTTTAATAATTATACTTAATTATTAATAATATAAATAAAATATCATTAAACTATGTTTAATCTCGTTTTGGGGCACCAACCTGTACTCAGGTAAATATAACCAAAATATCACTCAAATCAGTCTCAAATTAGTTATTTAATTACTAATATTATTAATAATGAATAACTATATTCAATAAATTGAAGGCGTGAAATCTGTACACAAAGCCTTCGCACCCAGCTTATATCACAATGCAAATACACCAGTAACCACAAACAACTGCTCTCTTAAATTATAACAGAATTTATTTAAACAAAGCAACATCAACCCAAAATCAGTGAAC